TTTTTTTTAATGTAATTTCATCCTACACTCCTATACTTTTGAGTGATTACAAAATTGATCTCATGTATTTTTTTTCTTAAAAAAATCCCTCCTCTTATTTTTAAATTAAATGAAATTAGTTCTCTTACATTTTAGTCGAAATAAAATAATCAAAATTTAATAAATGATGTAATCACAAGTCATCAATCCTATTTTCCCCTTCAATATATGCTTTTGTTAATTTGACATATTTGAATCTATTTCTTCAATGACATGACATCCTATTTTTTTAATGTCAAGTTGATTAAAGAAGGGGAGAGTTATTTATTACCTATAAAGTAGATGTAATATCACACAAAAAAAGCCCAAGATTGTCAAGATTTGGTTTTATGATTTACGTTATAAACAAATTAGCATTACTACCAAATAACTATAAATTAGTATTTTTTTTCTATTTTAAATTATATAATAAAAACAATCATGTCTCATTTTTTAACTTACTTTTTCGGCATAAAATGTGATTGAATTTTAAAATCTAGTCTTAATGGAAGAAAATTACAATTGATTTTCTTAATTAAGTAGGTAGAAAGCATATCCACCAAACAATGAACGAATATTTTATCTTGTGTTTTAAAGGTGTAATAAATGTATTTTTTTATAATTAATGTATATAAAAAAATAATTTAAATTTAATTAAGTAGTAAATTAAAATTATTCATGTGATAATATTATTAAAATAAAAATTAATTTTTATTTTTTTTTATAAATTAATTATAAAAAATATATTTATTATATTTTAATTTGAATAGGTACGATACATATTAAACAAACTCATATATAAAAAAAGAATTGTAGGAATTAGTGCCCAGTGGTAATCCCAATGACAATTGGTAAGGATTTGGTTCCATACCCAATGATTAACACAAACAACGTTTATCACGTGAAATAAAATATGGAATTCTCTATTAATTACGTGACTACCATATGGTTGGATTTGATCTCCTTAGGTCGAGTTAAGGGTCTGGATTTGGGAGCGAGCATAGCTTTCTTAAATGCATCATTGTTGGTGTGGAAAATAATACATGCATTCTTAAGATTTTTTAATAAGTTGGTTCACTAAAAAAAACTAGTACAAACATTTAGAATGTCTTCTTTATTTTTTAGTGTTTAAAGGCGTGATATGATTTCAATGCCTTCTATAAAAGAGTGTCCTAGTTCTGTCACTTGCAACTTGCAAAGCATCTTAAATAAAGGGGAGGGGAGAGGAGGGGAGGGGGAGGGGAAGGGGGGGCGCAGAATATATTCTTTATATAGAAATTAATAAAAATATGAAGCAATCAGGTAAAAAAAACAAAAGAAAAAAAAATCACTAGTAAAGCGCATGATCATACTAACGAGGGGTTAGATCAAGTGGTAAGCGGCTTATTTCAGCTTAATTAAGATCTCGAATTTGAGATCTTGTGTATGCAGCAGCCCCCGTTGGCAGACTCACCCACCATTTTCAGCTGCGCGACGCGGGTCGGGTCTGAATTAGTCAGGGCAAAACTCCGGATACCGGGCGGAAAGCCAAAAAATAAAAAAAGCGCATGATCATAAAGTCAATAACAATATTCAAGATTTAAGGAAATCATTTGCTTAATTATTCAATTTTTGGGATTTGGCTAACAACTTGTAATCAATTGATTAATTTCCAATTTTCAATAGCGCTCTTAGATAGGCATGCTTCGTAATATTAGGAGTTCTTTTAAGTGTGGTGATATGTGGGTCCAATTATTAGTTTTTTTTAGTGCATTAGATGTTTAGTTACTTTGACATGAAAGAAGTTTGAACTTTTTGACTTCAATCTTAGATCAAGATTTTTTAATTAATATGTATCAATTTGATCAAACTCCTATTAATTGGGGTCAATGGCTGGGGTCAACCGTTGAAGTTTCTTCATCTTAAATCCCTATAATTTCCAACCCCTCGTAAAAAAGAGATTCCATATAGTTCTCTATTTTACAATTTTGATTGCATTAAATTGTAACATAAGAATTATTAGATGGTAGCTTAATATCACAAGACCCATCTCATTTAATAAAACTTGAAGGATTAATTGAATAGTAATGTTAACATAATAAACAGATTTTTTTTAAAGGTTAATATCTTTAAATAAAAAAAATTAAAAGTTGATATTTTTAAATTAAAAAAAAAGTTAAAAAATTAATAGTTCTAAATAAAAAAATTAAAAATTAGTATTTTAATTTAAAAATTAATAAAATTAACATTATTAAATTAAAAATATAAAATTAATACCTTTATTTGCATTTTTTTTTTCTATATAGAGAAGGAATTGGAGAATTAGAGACTGCTTGTCTAGCTGAATTTTTTAATTAACAAAGAGACTGCATGTCTACAAAATCAAGGGGATGGAATTCTGAGTCATTATCCGTGCATGTTCCTTAATCTTTTCTTCTTATATTGATTTTTTTTAATTACCAAATAGATTTTAAGTTCCTACATTAAACATGTATTATCCATATGTCATCCGTGCATTACTCTTGTATTGTGCATGATATTTATTTATTTTTTTCATTTATAGTTTTAGACTTTATTTAATATAAACAATCTGTCTGCATGCTCGACACATTGAATAAAAATAACAACGGCTATTTTCTTTAACTGAAAATGTTCTTTGATTTATAGACCAAATTGACATCCTCAAGTTCAGGGGTTTGAATTTGGTTCCTAAATACTCCTTACATTTGGCATGATCCAATTGGTCCATGTAGGCTTAAGTTATAGCTAAAAGGAGCTCGATATCACCTGAGGTATGATTAGAAAAGCTCTTAAAAAAGAAACCAATCGAGTTGAGTTAAATTTTAATTATCATAACTTTAAAAGAAAGCATCTAAGACCTAAATAGTTGAGTTGTCTAGAATAGAATTTAAGTGATGTTAAGAGATAAAGGACAAAGGACTCATGCAAAGTCAAACTTGGTTTACACTTAGAGGCAGCCCCACATTCATGTCATCATCTACACAAACCATTACTTCTTTTGTATGTGATCCTTGTCTTCTTGTTATTCAGTACTTTTTCTTTGACAATCATACTTGTTACTGTATCTTTTCACACGTCAAATTTCAACTTTTATATGAATTAAACAAATTTTTATCCTCAATAAAGTAGACCATCTCTCCACTAAGGGATTCTTGCACAAATCCCAAGATAATTTCGAACTCCTCCTTCCTCTCTTCTTCAAGTTTCATTTCCTCCATTGTTATCCTTCTTATACCTTTACTAGAATATTATTCATTTAAGCACCAGAGTGCATATGCCAAAGACCACCTTCAGGTCTCCAACGCATACACTACCAAGCTTTCCTTTTGTCCACATGCAAATTAGGTTTCCGAAAAAGAATCACTACTTTCCTCACTCCTTTAACAAGTCTAGACGGTTAGGAAACTCGAATTTACCCTTGATAGTAATTTTCCGAATATCAATTCCCTTCCCTAGTTGCCATCACAAGAAACCAATCTCTACCCATATCTTTTGCTTGAGGCATTACATATTTCCGAACATTTGGGCCCATACCGGAAACCATTTTTCTAGTTGGGTGTCGGTGAACCCGATCGGCTGGTAGGCTTTGTGCCCACCCCTACTTGATTCATCCCATTTGGAATTAGTGTTATTTTGATGGGCACAAAGCCTGCCAACAGATCGGGTCAATGACAACCAGCCTAAGATATGGTAATGGATACGAGCCTAACAGGCTTGGGGCCCAAATATTCAGTGGCAAGCTTTAAGATGATTCAATCAAGCTTGACGGGATGAAGCTAGAATTCAAATTCATAACCTTGTCTGGCAAGATAGGGGAGACCTTGCGTGATTTTGGTACCCTCATTTAACACAAAAATGTGGTCGAGGAGTACTTAAAAAAAAAAAAAAAAACTAGTGCACATCAACATCAAATAAAAAGTGGTAATAATCAAGACAACCTGCAGCATCAAAGTCAGGGAGACTTGACCGAATCTGGCATCTTGCTTTGGCTACCTATTATTAATTGTTTTTATGCAAAATAAAATGGAACCCTACCATGCGAGCCGTGAAGAAATAATAATTTTTTTTTTTTGGGGGGGGGGGGGGGGGGGGGGGGGTTTAGAGGATTGTCTTGCATTTGGAAAAGGAAAAACATCTATTTCTTGATGGAATCATATGCTGATGAATGTTCATAACGCAAAAATGTATCAGATATTGATGAGAACTTTTATTGTGCTTATCCACCACAATCAAATTGACTCCCAAATGCCTAATTATTAAGTAATTTTTTCTAATAAAATTCCTTAAGAGTAATTTGTTTTGAGATTTGTAATTTTTATTGATATCACCTACTTAAAACTTTACATTATATGTGAATTGAGAGAATAAAAATGAACGAAAGAAAATTTTATTTTCTCACCTCTCTTGTTTTTTATTTGAATAAATAAATAAATAACTTCTTTTTTCGTCTCTTTTATTTTCTTCAATTCAAATGTATAGTTAAATGTGCTTATCTTTTAATGGCTTTGGTACCATCAATTATTAATCGTTGTTTTTATGCAAAATAGAACGGAACCCACCGCGCGAGTCGTGAAGAAAGAGCTTTTTATTATTTAGAGCAATGCCTTGCATGAAAACATCTATTTCTTAATGGAATCATATGCTGATCAATGTTCATAATGCAGAAATGTATCCCCACCTCAATCCCCAAAAAAAGAAAACAAATAAGGTGCTTCAATTCTCCGAAGCCGCCCGCCTTTCACTCAAATCTCATCATTCCAGGGCAAAGCTCCAAAGCAAAAAAAAAAAAAAAGTGCTTCCGTTCTCGATTTTCTGGTATGTTTTCTCCTTTCTCTTATTGTTCTTTCCCTTCTATGTTATTTTAATTTGTTTTTGAGGAATTGTGTTCTTTTTCTTCTGTAGTGAATTAGTGAAAGTTGTAGCACTGGTAATTAATCTTCCTCAAAGAAAGATGAATTTGACGGTTGATTGCGTGAAAATATGAAAATTGACTCAAGAGAGAGGGATAGACCAGGCTGAACTTCAGTCAACCCGGCCGGTAATTATGGGTTGTGTAATTATAGGTAGCCATTTCTGATTCGTGAAAATTGAATCTGTTTGATCCAAACAACCATAAACCAAGTGAATGGTGTTTCAACCTCCATAACTCGTGAATGAACAGCTAGCGTCATATCTGACTCGATGATCAACTTGAATTGAACCAAATACGCATGTTTGACCCGCTACCTGCAGTAACCAACACCACCCAACTAATTCATTTGTCAGTTCTAGAGACTGATTTGTGTTGGAGCTGCTGACCATAAACAAAATGTTCTTATCACCTAGAAGTATATTTTTCCTACAGCTATAAAGAGTGCATAGATCCGGCCGGCCCCAATATATTAAAAAGCTTATATACATCTCCTACATGCGGTTGTAAACTTGTTCCAACTAATACTAATCTGCATTGGTGAAGTCATATATAATATATGATCATATATAAGACTTTCCTTACCATCGACCATTAACTACAGTTTGATAATATAATTATTTATATTTTTAATTATAAATTTATAATTTTATTTTTAATTTTTAGATATAAAAAACATGTATAAGACTTTCCTTATAATGTCATATATTTTTGTTGGAATCCAAACAATTTCTTTAATTATTTTCCTTTTAGACGTATATAAAGAGTTGGGAGTAAGGAAGCAAAGAAGAGGTCATTATTATCATTTTTTTGATACTAACTTTTTTTTTTTATTACTTAGAAGAGGTCATTACTCGAAATTTGAGTCACATCAAATTTTATAAAAAAAAACATCTTTCAACATTTGTATTTTTATTTATAAAATTTAAATTTAAAATTTTATTTAAAAAAAAGTCAAATTCTCTTTAATCAAATCAATAAGTAATTGATGGCAGAGAAGAGGTTATTGTCCAACTAAATTTGTACTTTTGAAAGGCAAATAAAAAAATTGAAAAAGCAAAAAGCTAATACTTCTAAAATAGAATAGTTAAAAGGGAAAAGACAATGTAGCGGCCAATTTCGACGGGTACAGCATTCGGTGGTAGGTAAGATTAGCCATTCGCATTCAATCTTATTGTTAAGATGTGAACACAATTATATTTAGAATTATTATAAATATTTTATATTTTAAAATATTCTTTTTACACCTATATATAAATAATTATACATACAGTATTATTGAAGAAAGCAATAAATCTTTCTTCAAATTATTCTTCTTCTTTTTTGTTTCCAACTTGGTATCAGAGCTATAAGCTCCTGGTTCTTTTCTCTTATCATCGTTGTTTGGTTTTTGGAGTTGGATTTTCAATTTCATTTTAGATCTGAAACTTTGTCGTTGGGATCTCTTCTCCTACATATTGGATTGTTTATCCTCAATTCTCAGATCTTTTTTGAGGTATTTTGCTGGTTTATTATTTCGATCTTGGCATCTATTTCTTTATATTTTTTAGAGTTTTTTCAATATTGTGAGTTTTACTGATTCTATAACGAGTTTTCAAAGGATTGTAATTCATCTTGCTACTGCTATGGTTACCAAAGAAGTGATAGACCAATCTAATGTTAATCTTGAATCCTTAAAATAAATGACATTAAATTTTTTTAATGCTCCTACTGCCTTATCTATTGCTCCAGGTACCAAACTTTGGTATTTTGATTTTGGTTGTTGTAACCATTTGTCTTCAATTACTGCATATTTTTCTTCAATGTCACCAAATAATTCCTTTCCAGATATTTATTTTGCTTATGGTTCCCTTATGAATGTTAGTCATGTTGGCAATATTTCTACAAAGTCATTGACTTTACCAAATGCCTTCTTAGTCCAAAACTTAGTTATAATCTTCTATCTATTGATCAATTATGTGATCTTGGTCTTGAAGTGACATTTTCTGCTCATGGTTGTCGTGTGTAGGACCCATGGATAGGACAACTTCTTGGAACTAGTCGCAAGGTGGGTCATTTGTTTGAGCTCAACTATTTGCATATTCTTGATAATAAAATGGATACATCATCATTTCCAAATGATCAATTCATCCAATCCTTGCTTTGTGCTGTTGAATTAGAGTCTCTACAAATTCTATACCAACAAATTTTGCAAGCCTGTGTTGCTACCAACGTTTCTTCTCTCCATTTGTCGCACTCACGACTCGGACATACCTCAATTGGTAAACTTTGTCCACTTATCTCTCATGGTTTATTAGGGTCAGTTCCAAATGAATCTTTGCATTGTGTTCATGTCAATCTGCAAAGCAACCAACTTTATCTTTTTCGAGTAATCACTCTCATTCTATTGCTCCTTTTGGTCTCATGCATTCTGATGTTTGGGGTCCATCTCCTACACCCACCATGGGGGGTTCCAGGTATTTTGTGTTATTTATTGATGATCATACTCGTTTTATCTAGATATACTTTATGAAAAATTGCTCTGAATTATCACAAATTTATATTGATTTTGCTACCATGATCAAAACTCAATTATCTAAAATTATTAAATTTTTGAGAACTGACAATGCTACTTAATATCTTGGTACTAAACTTCAGTCTTTTTTGAAAGAATATGGTACCCTAACACAACAATCTTGTCCTTACACTTCTGAACAAAATGGGCGAGCTGAACACAAACACAGACACATCCTTGATTCTGTTCGTGCTTTGCTCATTTCATCATCTTGTTTAGAGCAATTTTGGGGTGAAGCTGCTCTTACAGTTATTTATCTTATTAATCGCATTCCATCATTAGTCCTTCATAACCAATCTCCATATGAGCGTTTACATGGTATTCTTCCTGCCTATAATTTTTTTAAGGTTTTTGGTTGTGCATGTTTTCTTCTTCTTCTTCCACCTCATGAACATAATACGTTAGAGCCTAGAGCTCGATTATGTTGTTTTTTGGGTTATGGGATTACACAAAAAGGATATCGTTGTTGGGGTTTTGTGTCACAAAAACTCCAAGTTTCACGTCATGTTGTCTTTTGGGGACACACTATGTTCTCATCGTTGTCAAACTTCAAGGTGTCATCCTCTCATCAACCTCCATTTTTTTACTAATTCTTCTATTGAGCTATTTCCTAGTGATTCTGATACATGTACATCTGATGAACTCTACAATGCCTCACCACATGCTCCAACTAGTTCTGTAGAAGATGATTTGCTTGTTGGTAATGCATTAGATAATTCTGAGCCTTCTTTTACTTCCTCATCTGTATCACATGTTGATGTTGCATTTGAGCTTATTGTCCCATCCTTGAGTAATCTTACTCAAGTAAGAAACCCTTTTAGCTACCTTTGTGATTATCATTGCTTTTCTGCTATTACTTCTTTACATGAGCCTCAATCCTATCAAGAGGCCTTTTCTAACCCTTTTTGGCAACAAGCTATGCAAGATGAATTATAGGCTCTTGAGAACACTCGTATATGGGATTTAGTTGATCTCCTTGTTGAAAAGTCTCTAATAGGCTGTAAATGGGTGTATAAGATCAAAACAAGATCTGATGGTTCTATGGAATGCTATAAGGCATGCTTGGTTGCCAAGGGTTTTATACAAGAGTATGGAATAGACTATAAGGAAATATTTGCTCCAGTTGCTCATCTCACATTTGTGCACATTTGTGCACAGTTTGCTTACTATCGCTGCTATATGGAGATGGAAATTATTTTAGATGGATGTGAAAAATGCTTTTCTTAATGGTGACCTTGAAGTATAAGTTTATATGAAACCACCTCCTGGGCTTACCCATCCTCCAAACAAGGTATGCCGATTGCAACGTGCATTATACGGGTTGAAGCAATCCCCTCGAGCCTGGTATGCCAAGTTTAGTGCTATTATGAGTGAGCTTGGTTTTACTTCCAGTCCACATGATACAACTTTTTTCATTCGTAAAACTGCTCGGGGTATGGTTCTTTTACTTCTTTATGTTGACGACATGATTATTATTAGAGATGATGTCGCAAGTGTTGAGGAGCTAAAACAATCTCTCAGTCAGAAATTTGAGATGAAAGATTTTAGTGTTCTGAGCTATTTCCTTTGGCTTGAAGTCACCTTTTCAAATGATGGCTACCTGCTTTCTCAAGTAAAGTATGCCTCTGATCTTGTTTCCAAAGCTGAACCCAATGATGGTGAGAGTGTTTCTAAACCTCTTGAACCTAATGTCAAGCTTACACCTATGGATGGCTCTCCACTTTTTGATCCTACTTGTTATCTGCAATTGGTTGGTAGTCTGGTTTATCTTACCATGACACGCCCTGATATAGCATATGCAGTTCACATTGTTAGTTAGTTTATGGCTGCTCCTCGCTCCACTCATTGTGCAACAGTACTTCGCATTCTTCACTATGTTAAGGAAACATTATTTCATGGACTCCATTTTTCTACCAACTCCTTTCCTGTGGTTCGCGCTTACTCTGATGTTGATTGGGCTGGTTATCCTTCTAATCGTCGATCTACCACTAGCTACTATCTTTTCCTTGGTAATTCTCTTATCTCTTGGCGGAGTAAGAAACAAACTATTCCATCTCGCTCTAGTATTGAAGATGAGTACAGAGCTCTTGGTGATACCACATCAGAACTTCTTTCATTACAGCGGCTTCTTGAAGATATGGGCATTCCTCAACATTCTTCTACTGAATTATATTGTGATAATCAAAGTGCTATGTAGATTGCTCATAATGATGTCTTCCATGAACGCACTAAACACATTGAGGTTGATTGTCACTTTATTCGCCATCATGTTGCACAAGGAACTGTTCATTTGGTTTTTATTAACTCTATTGATCAACTAGTAGACCTCTTTACCAAGCCTCATTTTCTTGGACGCTTTTGTACTTTTCTTTCCAAACTCAAGGTGGTTGTGATGAAACCAACTTGAGTTTGAGGTGAGATATTAAAACGTGAACACAATTATATTTAAAATTACTGTAAATATTTTATATTTTAGAATATTCTCTTTATATACTTTATACCTTAGAATATTCTCTCTGTATACTTTATACCTTAGAATATTCTCTTTGTAAACACCTATATATAAATCATTGTACATACAGTATTATTCAAAAAAACAATAAACATTTTTTCAGATTATTCTTCTTCTTTTCTGTTTCCAACACTTACAAATAAAAAATCAGCAGGCTGAATATACATGTTGTCTTTTTACACATAGAGCCGTGGGAATACACCTGCAGCCGAATACACCTGCAGCCGCAGGTCAGAGTCAATCTTGTTGCATCCCTGTGCAGTCGAGGTATGTAAATATAAACAAGGTTTTTGTCCTATAATTTAAATTATTTTAAATTATTAAATAAAAATTATTAAATAAAAAAATTTAATATTAAAAATTTTATTTAATTTAATAATTAATATAATATAATTTAATACTACTTAAATTGTTGCATCATATTTTATATATATATATAGAGAGAGAGACGGGCATTTGTAACGTGATGAATATCTTTGAGATTACCCAGCAATAGCTAATTCTAGGACGGCACCTACGTCGACCAACCAGTAAGCTCGCTCAGCCCATTGACTGAAGAAAACAACTGCCCTTTTTTTTTTTAAGTAACTGAAAAAGTTCTTCGATTTATAGACCAAATTAAGATCCTTTGGTTCACGGGTTTGAACTTGATTCCCTTCCCTAGTTGCCATCATAAGAAATCAATCTCTACCCGGATCTTTTTTCCCTAGTTATGTATCTTTTAGTAGTTAGTTATTTGCCTTTTAATAGCTAATTAGTTGCCTTTTAATGGGAATATTATCTTGAGTTTGGTGTTTGATTTTTTGAAATTCTCTTTCTCCATCCCCATGGTACAATAGAAATGTTTGTAAAAAATTATCGTTGTTAAAAAAAAAAAGGAGACAAAAAAAAGAGAGGCATTACATACTTCCAAAATGGGTTGACTTTTTTTTGTCCATTATTCCATTTATTAAATTTAGTCCTGAACTTTCAATTTTGAATAGTTTTAGTCTTTAAATCATTTTTTGTACTTTTTTAATCCTTACATTTTTTTTTCTTTTTGTTAATTTTTTTTGTTAAATCCGTTCAATTAGTATTTTTTAATTTCTTTTCAAGGCATGAATGTGCAATAAATATTAGTTTAAGGATAAAAATATACATAAAATAAAAGTTCAAGAACTAAAAAAAAAACTAAACTGAATAGAATTAATGGAAAAAAAATTGACGAAAGCATTAAAAAAGCGTATTTTTCCCGGTTAAAATGATTAAAAGGTACAAGAAATAGTATATGGACTAAAATTATTTAAAATTAAAAGTTGAGGACTGATTTGACATTTAACCTTTCATTTATTTTGTTGCCATCACGGGGTAAAAATATGTACTTAAATTCTCACCCAAAAATTCTCACCCAAAAAAAAAAAGGGTACTTAATTTGACGACCATATATGCTTTGCGCATAACATTTCTAAATTGCAGGTGAGATGTCAAAGCCTCAACTCCTCCTCCTCTTCCTCCAACTCCTCCTCATCTTACGGGCCGCCCGCTTCCCTCTATCCCTTGCCGACGTTGGCACTGCCGCCCGTTACACTCCTCCATACATACGTAAGTTCCTGCAGCATCAAAGATCAAAATTGACATTGATTAATAGAGATATATAGTTATACACTTCGATAACAGAATTTTGAATGATTTTGATTACCTATATATGCAGCCACTGCATGTTACGGGAATGATCAATCGCAGCTACCCTCCAGCAACCTTTTTGGGGCAGCCGGTGAAGGAATATGGGACAATGGTGCTGCCTGTGGGAGGCAATACTTGGTCAGGTGCATCAGCGCGTCTGTCCCAAGATTTTGCAATCCAGGGCAAACAATACAAATCAAGATTGTTGATCGCGCACAAAGTTTGGTGTCTAAGCCTTCCAGAGATGGCGCTTCCATGGTTCTCTCTTCAACTGCATACGGATTGATTGCAGATGCTTCTGCAATCTCAGTTAACATAGAATTCCAACAGTAAGTCTAACCAGTTGGTCTTAATTGTTTTCTTTCAACTGTAAGAGATTAATTAATTTTGTTGATATATTTTTACTATGTGCAGGGTCTGAATTTTGGGGGTGGAGGTTAATTATTGGAGGAGCAGGTTGTTCTGGTTAGTTCTACAACTTTGGAGGAAAGTCATCAAATGTATTCGTACTTTAATTAGATCAGAAGTAAGCTGTTCAACATTGCAGATTTCAATTCTAGATAAACTCAAATTTTAATTTGATTAAACTCTTGTTAATATTTTTGCACTTTATTTATGATTGCTTTGACTTTTTTATTTTTAAACGTAAGAGTGGATTTTAAACTTTACACTACTAAATTAGCATAAAAAAGTCTATAATAAAAAAAATGTTGTCATTAAATCCCCTTGAGACATTCTCAATCACTTTGGTTATTTTTTTTTGAATAAATTATAATTATTTATATATTAATTACGAAAAATAAAAAAAAATTTAAGAAAATCGAACACATAAGAGATGAACGACGTTAACCAAAATTCAATGTCACTTCCCACAATGAGCGTTCAATCACTTTGGCCATTTGATTACATAATGGAAGAAATTGAATTACATCTTAGCCAAAGTAATGCACGACAGTGACTTTTATGGGAAGAAAAATGTTACTACTTGGTATTTTGCATTTATAATCTGACAGTTTCGCTAGAACCACCACAGACATGACTCATACCTCATAATGCTTTAACAACTTTTGTTAATGAAAGTAGTTTAATTGGTCAATTAGCAGTGTGAATGAGGTGTGCATGATTGAAGCCAAAATTGGTGATGGAATGAACGTGTACCCATGTTAGCCTGGATTGAACTTCCTGTATGAAAGCAATTAATTTCAATAGATGCTGGCCACCATTACAGTTTGGGTTTCTTTATCGGGGGTGGTGAATAAGGTGGCGTTAAGTCAAATCTTTTTTAAAGATGGTCACTAATGTTTAAAAAGATGTACGAGATAAAATTTTAAGCTTTGCTAAGCCCCCTCTCTCAACAGGTAGCTTTACATTGGGGGTGGAAAAATTTTGTTAGGTAGAGTTCCTTCCTCTGGTTGATAGACGAGTTATTTGCTTGTAGATTAGCTTTTTATTGTTTCTGTGTAGTAGTCATACATGATTGTTAGATTGTACTTTGAAATATTATTAAATTAATAAATTTCACATTTCAACCAAAAAAAAAAATAATCTTTTTATCAACTTATCCTTATGCTTAGATTTAGTGATCATAATTTTTGATTAAGTAAAGATTACCCCTTGTGAATTGTGTTTTCAAGCCTCACAAATCACATTCGCCTCCTCTCAAATTACCCTGTTAAAAAAAAAAAAAGAAAAAAAAAAGAATCTCCTTACCAACCATTCTACCACCTCTCAAGAGCAAGTCTTGCCTTCTAGATATTGAAGGAAAAACGGATTATTTAAGAGGTTAGGTTATCTTAACAAGAAGGTTCTCTAGCTTTTGACCTTCCGGAGAGTCTCCAGGACAACAAATCTCTGGCCCAGATGAGAAATAAGGCCTCACAAATTCTTTGATTTTTAGTAGATACCATTTTTTAAAGGGATTTGTAGGATAAATTTGTTGATTTTTCTCTTAGTTATTGTTCATTCCGCGAGAGTCCTACACGTGATTCATTTCATCAGTCATCGGATGGGCCCAAGGAAACAAATAGCGTTATTTATTTATTTATTTATTTATTATTATTATTATTATTTTTGTCAATAAACCTCTTAATCAATATTTGGTTATCGAGGCCCAATTAATTAAGCGGTCCAGTATAATTTTTTTCAATTGAAAAAAGAGGTTTTAATAGAAATAAGAGTTTTCAAATTTAAGTAATAATACGTACAAAGTGAGTTAAAATGATAATAAGTTAAAAAATTTAAAAAAAATAAAAAGAGGAAAAAGGTAATTGACTTGGTGCCTTTTAGAAAACAAATCATCAAATTCAATTTGGAAACCTTCACTCATGGCTGCTAGCCCACCGAAAAGATTTTCACTTTTTTTTTTTTTTTTTTCTTTTGGCTGTAAAAACTGAAGCTAAATACAATTTGCAGATCGTCATGGGATACCATCTTAATTGTTAACAAACAGCCATCTGTTTTTCATTTTTATTCCATTAGGGAAATTAACTTTGATTCATGGTGGTTATAACAGTTGTTTGGTTTTGTGGCTAACCCTCTATATAGTAGCACTACTGAGACTTTCGATTGCACAAACTAAAGAAATTACAAAACTATACAACATAACATAGTGGATGAAGTTCTTGTCCTAATCAATTCACAACTAGTCCCAAAATATTGGACATTACACACAGGAGCAGAGACAACACTGGATTCTAGATGGCTGAAACCTTAGGAACATCCACTGGGAATTGATGAATCTCATCCATCCATGGGTTCTTCGAATTCTCCTTTGCTGGATTTATGGTCCTCAATGCCTTCCAAACTGCGCTGTTGCACTTGAACCCAGAACCGAATGCTATCTGCCATGTTCTGTCCCCCTTCTTCATCCTCCCCTTGGCCTCTGAATAAGCCAATTCGTACCAAAGAGAGCTGCTTGATGTGTTACCAAATCGGTGTAGAGTCATTCTTGAAGGCTCCATATGCCAATCTGAAAGCTGCAAGTTCTTCTCCAACTCATCCAGTACAGCTCTTCCCCCTGCATGAATGCAGAAATGCTCAAAGGCCAACTTGAAGTCTGGTATATAAGGCTTCACCTTTATCTTGAAGAGTTTCTTCCCAACTAATGTGGCAAAGAAGAGTAACTGTTCAGACATGGGTAACACAAGAGGACCAAGAGTGGTGATATTAGTCTTCAGAGCATCCCCAGCAACTGCCATCAGATCCTTTGATAAGGCAACTCCAATCCTTCCAGTAGGGTCCTCCTGTTGTGTGACACAGGAGAAGCATTTATCATTAGAGCCTTTATGGGTTCGAACGGTGTGGACTAGCCTGTACTTTGACCTCCACCTGTCTGACCTCTTGTTTGAGAGCAATATTGCAGCTCCCCCCATCCTAAACAAGCAATTCGAAACAAGCATCGATCTCTCATTGCCAAAATACCAATTCAAAGTGATGTTCTCCATACTAATGACCAAAGCATAGGAATTGGGATGCACTTGAAGAAGATCTCTGGCAAGATCAATCGAAATCAAGCCAGCACTACATCCCATCCCACCTAGATTATAACTAATAATGTTCCCTCTAAGCTTGTAATGGTTAATAACCATTGCAGACAAAGATGGTGTAGGATTAAACAAGCTGCAATTCACTATCAAAATCCCAACATCTTTTGGTTTCAACGATAGTTTCTCAAAAAGCTGATCAAGAGCACCAAACATCACAGTCTCAGCCTCTTTCCTTGCCTCTGCCATGCAAGGATCAGGAGGAACCCTCAGAACAGCCTCTGGAAGATAAGTGGACTCCCCAAGACCAGACCTCTCAAGAATTTTCCTCTGAAACTCAAGGTTTTCCTCAGTGAAAGTACCAATCATCTTGGACCTTTCCATGAAAATCTGCCTGGTGCATTTCCTAGCATCATCCGCCTTGTAACAAGAGAAATCAACAAGGTAAACGGGGCGGGGGAGAGTAAGGTAGTAAAGGGTGGACAGAAAGACAGGAAGGGTGGAACATAAGATGACAGATATGAGATTGAAACGAAGATGATCCCAGAGGTCATGGAGATCCTGAAGAGAGAATGTGGCAAGCTGTGCAGCAACTAGAAGAACTAAAGGGGGCAAGAAAAGGTACATTCCATGAGTAATTAGGTAATGGTAGCCAAGTTTAACGTATTTCAATTTAACAGATTGTTTGAAATCAGGAAGCTTAAGGGAATGGGATTTGGGGATTAAGGGTGTGTGTGGATTGGATTCAGACATATTGATGAATTAGAGATAAAATCAAAAAATGAAAGTAACTAAGCAAATTAGTACATGAAGAAACAGAGGAAAAACAGAAGAAGCAAACGCAGAGTCTGTGAATAAAAAGGCAAGAAAGATATGAAGACACAAACTCGTACAGCAAAGAATCAGATAAGGAAGCTCAATCCTGCAAAAACGAGAGATACCCATTTTCAAAAATAAGAAAAGAAATAAACATGCTGCATCCATCCATACAACAAACATTGAATTTTGAAAACCCAGATGAGATCTAAAGAGCAGATTTTTTTTCCTCTTTCTTGAAACAAAATGGGGTGATTTCCATGCAAGACAATGGATGCACTTAAAGAAACACAAAGAGAAGGTGAAACGCAGGTGAAAAGAACTGACCTTTGAATGTGAAGGAGGAGGAGCAATGGATCTCTATGTTGTTTGCCTTTGCTTGAGAGGGAGAAACCAACGGACATGAGTGAGGACGAGCCAGGAAACCTATGCATGT